ATAATAATAATAATAATAATAATAATAATAATAATAATAACTTTATTTCTATAGCGCTCTTATCCTATGTTCAAGGCGCTTTACAGTCATGTAAACAACATTATTGAAAAATATTTACAAATTTACAACCATATCCTATTATATTTACAATGGGTAAAAAACGAAAAAATTAAAACTAAAGCAACTATTAAACCATTTCATTCATAATGATAAAAAAAGGGAAAAATTAAAACTAACGCAATATATGCAAATCTATAAAAACAATGATCCGTTATTACTGAATTTAGTAAACCTGAATAATAGCACCTAAATAGTAAGAGAAAGACTTTGCAATGACTTAAACGCTATCTTTTAAGTGCTTCGTTCAGGTGCATTGCTGATGAAATTCAGTTCTATACTTGGCTAAGTTACAGCCTTTTGGTGAGTAACACCAACACAAAGTCCAAACAAGGCCTCTTAATCTCGGGCTGTGGTGCGTAAAAAAGAGGCAATTTTTCAAATTTATCGCCTCGACTTGATCGCGGATCCTTACATAATTTAAGCATATTTAGTAACTTACAAGAGCACATATGAAAAGGCATTTCGCTATCTCTACTGAATTAGTAATTAGTTATAAAAGCGACCACTGTTTGTGTAAGTACACAGGCAGTGGTCGCTTTTATAACTAATTACTGGAAGTAGTTGCACGAGCATGGTCACGGTATTGTTAAACAATTAAAAGATTTAAAGTTCTTAGATGATATCTGATATCCCCTGCTGTATAATCAGCCTTGCTTCTTTCAGCTGATGAAATTGTTTGATACCTCCTTCATAACTCTACAAGAGCATTTTGTGTATGGATAAAGGCACTACAAGTACCGGTAGTGACTTCAGCACAGAATTGAAGTAAAACAGCAATATGCTCTTAACCTAGACCCTGTGAAAGCGATTTTAACCTCCAGCATGACGGCCAATAGAGAGATTTAGAGTTACTTTTACGCCAAACGGCAAACGTGAATTTGTATAACGTGACCAAGTTTTCCCCTTAATTGCCCTTTACTGCATGTTATAGCCAAATTCGTTGTATCGCGTTGTCTGTTTGCAAACTACGAAGGGGTTTTTCTGTTCGCTCAATCATTCGAGTGGGCGTGGAGTTAATGCAAATCACACGGCAACGCACTCGCCCAGCTTGGCCCGCAAAAACAAAATTGACAATGACCCTAAACTGCTCAAGAATAGCGAAGGAAATTGCGATGATGAGAGGAATTTTTGCTGAGGGCAGGAGGCAGACATTGCTTTATTCTTGCAAGAGACAAGAATAAGAAAGATCATAAAAAGCTTCGAAAACTAGTCGATCATTGCCTGAAACAGAGCGAAACAGGGCGATCACAAACAGCGAACCTTCAAACGCAGAAAGAAACAAAGTGGATCGAAATGCACCAATCACAAGTAACATCTGTTTCCTAAGAGGTCCGCTAAGATGATTGACGGGACAGAAAGACCCAAAATTCCTTCGAAGTTTGCAAAGCCCGCTGCGCGATACAACGAATCTGGTTATAATTACTTCTACAAAGAAATAAGTAGTTTCACGCCAGTTTTATCCATAAGGATTGTTCTGGACAGTTTTTATCTGTTTATTTTCTATTTTGAGAAATTCTTATCTTGAATCTGGCATTTGCTGTTTGCCTTAAAGGTAACTCTAAACATGTTAGGCTTTTGTAGATTGTGCTAGCATAATTTTTAGCATTATTTGAGAAAACTAGCATAATTCTTCCCATTTTTTTATAACGTAGCACTGCTAGCATAATTCCGCATATTTTGACAATTATCGGAACATTTTTGGGCTTTGACAGGTACGTTGATTCCCAAATCCCAATTATACGCTGACGTTGTTCGATGTTTTAGCGGTATTTGCAGTTTACTGATCCCAGAAATGGGGGCCTAGGACTAGGGTGTACGGGAACAGGGATGTCCCATCCCATGGCAAACCATGTCGGTCCCAATACCTCTCATAGGCAAGGCTACAAAAATGGCGTCAGCTATACCAGCCGATTCGAACTAAAACTTACAGCTCCCTCAGAGAAATGACGGGCCAGGACCAGCCACAATTGCGAGAGACCGTTATATAGTATAGCTAACAAAAATAAACGGCTTCTGATTAAAAAAAATGTATTTTTGGACTTATTCGCCATGGTTTTTGAAGAGCACAAAAATAGCATAACTTGGAAAAACGAGCATAATTTTAGCATAATTTGGCTAAAAAAAAGAGCAGTACTACTGGCATATTATGCTACTTTTACTAGCACAATCTATATACTTCTCCATCTCTCTCCTCTATTAAAACAGGGGCACCCAACGACAATTTTCGGAAGAATATCTGTTCGGAAGACGATTTGAGATCTAGAATTTTAGAAACATTTGTTGTAAAATTTCTTACTTGCCTGCCTCTCCTAGGATTTTCGAACATGTAAAAAATAGTAAAATTGCCTATTTTTAACGGATTTTTACTCTAAAAAGGTCACCTAGAATTTTCGGGAGCCTTTTTTCTGGCTGAAATTTTCGAAAAAGTAAGTTTTGATCCCTATTATTTTCGGATCACTAGACTTTCAGCTAGGAAATCGGAACAGATGAAAAATTTTTAGGGGATAAAAATGTGCCTATATCTACCTTTTAAATACTAAAATACGTTTAACAATGCTATGTTTAAGTGGTTTTGAACTATATTCTTGTTGCGTGCCCCTGTTAAAATCAGTCTCCAACGGCTAAAAAACTTTTCGAGCTGCAGGGTCGCAGGGATATCTATTTTTGGCTAACACCCGCTGACCAAAATGCCTGAGTGTTCTAAAATTCGTGTTGAGATTCGGCAGTTGAGTGATTTGTTGGTCAGTCAGCTTAAAATTCAGTTGTCTAACTCATGGATCGCCTTCTTCAACCAGTAGTGGGAGACAATGGGCAAGAAAAATTTTGTGTGGAGATGATGAAACGGCTCAATATTCAGCGAAGGAATGAACATCTTTGCGATGTGATTCTAGAAGTTGGTTCCGGCACAGGTAGCCCAAGCTCGAAATATGAGCATCGGCGAGCATCGGCATTGTTGCATAACATTCAAAATATAAGGATTTGTATGGGAAAAAAACCTATCGCCTCTGTAACCTACGAAAATTAAAGAATTTCAATAAAAAACAGCTTACCTTACTTAAAATGTGTGTTACATCTCTCCTGTGTGGTCCACGGGCCGATTTATGGCCGTTTTATGGGTTTTTATGTAAACGGTTTTCTCTCTATATAAAGGTTTACCAAGGTTGGGCACTCCAGCGAAGCGGCTCGACTGATCCACCGAAGGAAAACGGCCGTAAATTCGCTCCAGCTGCTCCAATCGCCTCCAAATTCCGCCTAGGTAACACACGATAGTTCTCCTTTCCATTCGTTACCTTGCTTCAAGACGCCTTTGCACCGAGAGCGAATCAAAGGTCGCCAATCTCTGCAAACCTTCCCGATTGAAGCCATCGACAGAGGCTCGGGATGAGCTCCGCGTTACCCAAACCGTTGAAAGATAGCTTAGCGACCCGGCCTGAGATTCAAATTACTCACACTCGGGGTGGGAGACAGTCTCTTGCTCCCGTTGACATCAATACCCTTGGGCCCGANGAACAAACGAGCAAGGCTGTAATGGGAGAAGTGTTGGAATATCTCTACACGGGACATGTTGACATCAATGAACATAATGTCTTTGATTTGTTGCAATTAGCAGATTTTCTTATTGTCCCAAGTTTGAAGGTGGCATCAGTAGGGTTCATCTCTGAAACGCTGTCTTCCTCGAACTGTTTACTGGCTTATTATTCCGCCAGCAGGTACCAGTGTCCGGACTTGCAAAGACAAGCAAAAGATTTTATCTTCGAAAATTTCATGAGTGTCACAGAATCGGCTGATTTTCAGAACTTAAAGGGCGAAGAGGTTGAAGAGTGGATTTCAAGTGATGAAATCCAAATAAACAGCGAAGAAGACGTCTTTCACGTGATCGTAAAGTGGATGGAAGGACGCGATCATAAAGAACCCCAAGTATTTTTTGAATTATTTCGTCACGTTAGAGTGGTGTACATGTCACGCAACTTTGTGTTCAAGGTGGTTCTTAGTCATCCTTTGGTAAAAGACAGTGCAATATGCACAGAATTTGTATTAAATGCACTGAAAGAGGTTTCAAGTGGCAGTGAAGATTGTTATTTTGCCAAGCCACCAAGGAAATGCCTTAACAATTGTGAAGATGGGCTTGTTACTTGTAAAGGAAATAAGACATATTGCTACATTCCTTCAATTAACAGATGGTACAAGATGGCGGACATGGTACCAGGAGAAAATATGATTGGCAACAGAATGGTTGCATGTCATGGAAAAGTGTACCTGATGAGAGAAAAAGATCGTATCAAATGTGCACTGGAACGTTACGATCCATCAGTAAACTCTTGGGCACCTGTCATCTCACTCCCATCAGTGATGCAGAATTCAACACATCTATTTGGGGGTGTAGTTAACTTCCAAGGTTGTCTCTATTTTATTGGTGGAGGGAGTGATCGTGTACATAAGTATAATCCTGATACAAAGCTGTGGCAGGAGGTAGCACCAATGAGTGTCGCTAGGTGGGGTGTGTGCGCTGTTGCCGATGAAAGTTCTTTGTATGCAGTAGGAGGCATGTCTGGTGATGGAGTGCTGGACTTAGTGGAAAAATATGACCCTGAAAGAAACTCTTGGAATAGAGTTGCTTCAACTGCTGAGAGAAAGATGTTTTCTTGTGGCGCTATTGTGAAAGAGAAAGTGTTTTTGTTTGGAGGATTCTTTGGCAACAATGGAAATGAAACTCAGTTCTCAAGTTGTATTGAAATGTATGATCCAACATCAAATGTGTGGTCTATTCTACAAAATACAGATGTACTAGGTTTTACAAGTGCTGTAAGTTTCAAAGAAGGTATTTATCTGGTACGTCATGAGAGATATAATATTTCCTTGTATAAATATGATTTTGATAAGAAGGAACTACTATCATGTGCTGAATATCATAGTTCATGTGATACTGATTCCAATCAGTGGCTAACCTTAACTTCCCTGCGAATCCCAAAAGACTCCTTACAATCATTTGTACAACTCAAAAAAGTATAATTATTTTTATCTTGCCTATTCAAGAACATAACATATTGTTGATGTACTTTATGATTATTTGGAAAGGTGCATGGAATGACTTCACTCCTCAGCCATTTAAACAATAATGAACTAGCACTGTGTGCTCAGTAACAGTTTTTAAGGAGACATCAGAGCTCAGACATTTATCCTATAATTACAACATTTTGTGCAAAGTGAAAATACCACACAACACATAAACTTTGGCCTGAGACCAATTTAAACCCAAAATATGGGAATTAGGAATCTGGGAAATTTTTGCTTCTGGAATCCATAATCCAGGAAATTTTGCTTGTGGATTCCGGAATCCTGGGCTTTGGAATTATGAATACACCTCAAGGAATGCGAAATCCCTTGAAAGATTGGAATCCGGAATCTAAGTTCCACTGACAAAGAATCCAGAACCGTCGCCAAGGAATCCAGAATCCAAGACTGTCTTGGAGTCCATTATATGGGGCAACAAAATACTTAGTTCCTTTCCTCTTCCTGTCTGCACCTTGTTTGTCTTCAAAAGCCCGAGCCATTGGTTGATCATAATTATCAAACAACGAAATTCATTGGCTTATTAGAAGAGATTTCGTCTTTTTTATACTACCTGGATACATGCATGAGTTGCAATAAAATAATTGACTAAAGTTACATTACATTAGTAGTGTGTGTTCCAAAGAGAAAACAACAATCAAACATGAAATAGTAGATGTTCGTAAACAAAACACATTGTAACATCTTTAGTGCAGTAAATTAAAGATAAGTGGCTTGCATCTGGTATTCTGATACTCTCAAACAGACTGTCTATAAAAACTCCTTCACCCCTGCCTGTTGAAGTGTCTCTTTTTGCCTCTGTGCATTCAGTTTAATTGAGTACTTGACTTGGCAGACTTCCCACCCCATTGGAATTTACTTTTTCGAGGTTGTGGTTCAAATTGTTTTACAAATGAAAAGTGGAATAAGCAGGGAGCTGGGAAAGATCAGGGAGAACAGAAATTGCAATTTGTAGGGTAGGCATAGCGTTGAAACAACTAGATGGTGCGTTGAAATCCTTTTTTGGATTTCGCACTTGAATGCAAAATCCAAAATCTGGACTTCAAACCAACAAAATCCAGATTTCCTAATGGAATGCACAGTAATAATTTGAAGTTAGAGACTGATCATTAAAAAAAGGGGGATCAGTCATAACTGAGAACCCAAACTGAAAAATGAAAACTTTAGGAGGATTCAGAGTGGACCACTCAAATTTGCTTGGAAAATGAAGATGTTAGAGGGGGGGAGGGGGGGGGGCGCTGATCGCGAAAGTCATCAAATGTTATTACGGGCGATCACTTCAGTGAAGTAACATTCAAAGTGGGGATTGGCTAAATTTCACGTTGTTTAACCCCAAATCCTCAGCTCCCGCCCCCACCCTCCCCCCCTCCCAGGCGATAAATAATGACCGGTCCCTTATTTACACACAACTTGTATGTCATGCTCTGGCTAAAAAATCACGAAAGGGAATCCATTACAGTCTTGGATCCTGGATTCAACGCTGTGGATTCCGGATTCAAGGCACTGGACTGGGATTCTGGATTCTAATCATTATTGGGATCTCGGATTCCTTGAGCTGTTTCCCGGATCCCAATGCCTAAGATTCTGGAGTCCAAATGCAAAAGTTTCCCGGATTCCGGATTCGGATTTGTGGAATCCAGATTCCAGAATCCAGATTTTTCGGTTTGGCTCAATGTACTATGTTACCAGTACGAAGACCTCCTGACTGCCGCTCAAACGTCGTTTTCCATGGAGCTTCACGGTGTACTGGCGAAGAAAAAGAGTGTGACGGTGACCAAGGCATTGGCAGACGTTCAAAGAGTCTCCCTGATCCGCAAGATATCGTTTCCGGACCATTGCTGTTGTCGGCAGTATTGGCTGGTCCACAGGAACACACGGATTGACTACAGCTTCGTTCAATTCCATGTTGAACGTTGTCAGCGCCCAGAAGTTCTTCCCTTGGGGATACGCGCATTCCAACCAGCTTATCGACCAATAGCAGCTCCAGAAAACTAACAATCGCGGTCCACACGGAAACAGCTACAATCGCAAGTGCCTGTACTCCCAAAAATCTCCAAGGACCACCCTTAAAGATTCCAAAATCCTCAGAAACTGAGTTTTCGAAAGTGTCTTTCTCAGCAAACAGGGCAACAGCCAAGAGCCCCCAGACTGAAGCAAAGAGGTGGATGGGAACACAACCAACAGGGTCATCGATTCGGAGTCGATCAAGAAGAGCACATCCGGGACATGCAAATAGAGCACCCACTGCACCAATAACTATTCCCTCCCAGGGACGAGCGAGAGTGCAGATAGCTGAAAATTGGGATTAGATTAGACACATTAGATACAAATTTAGGACCATTAAGCTTGCTCCCTGTCAAATCAGAATCACTGCCTTTTACCCCATCAGTCAATGTAATGAGCCTCCTTGATAATTGCCGTTTTCGAGACAAAGACCTCTCACCTTGCCCACTGATTATTATTTGAAAACAAGTTGCTCAGAATTGCTGTTTTTTTTTTCCAAACTGGGCTTTTCCTATTCTATAGTCACCGGCCCGCCTTTTTCCAGCACTTGCATCAACATTGATCATAGGTACGCCAATCACGCCATTCGTGAAAAAAACTAACGTTTGCATGTGAAAAAAAGCTGCCTTTTGATTTAAAAAAATCATTTGAAAGAAACACATGTAATCGAAGTTTTATCATGACTTGAGGTGTTTGTGCTTTTTCTCAATTATCGACTCTCATTTAACTTCCATTTATTTCTGTTTTTTTTTTTCAGGTACATTTACGAGATCAGTTTGGGTTTTTGGGAAACTGACCACCTACCCCTCCCCTAAGCCAACATTAACACTTACTTCTCACTTAGGGCAAAATGTTGGATTAGGCGAGGGGTAGGTGGTCAGTTTCCCAAAAACCTAAATTGCTCCCATTTACGCAGGTACGTACAGGAGAAGAGACCGCTACGCCCCTGGGCTCTTTAGCCCGAGGGAGGGGAGAGGGGGCACTCAAAGTAAATTTGCGTAGGGTTGTGCCTTAGGAGCCTTCCACACCTTTCCTTGTTTAAGACAAAGATCGTTCATTTCGCTACCCTGATTCATTTCGTTTCGCACACAGAATTCTTAAGACAGCATCAAAGAATTAGATTTTTTGAGGAAAAAAGTTTTTGGTACAAAACATGTAGGCCTCGGCAACCTTTACATACTCTTTTAAAGGCTTTGGGTCTCTCCAAAAAATTATTTGGAAATAGTTGATGTACTATTTATTGTATAAGACTCCAAATAAATAAAACATGTATGGGTGTATGCATGTATGTATGTATGGACCCACCCCCCCCCCCCTTGGGTTTTTGATATGTTGCAATATTTCGAAACGATTTTGCCTTCAGTGGAAAGCCTTTGATCTTCCCTACAAGATGAGGTATATTTTATTGGTGGTGACGCCGCTGAAGGTCTGTGACGTCACCAAACATGGTCGCCATCTTGGCCGCCCTCTTGGATTTTATCAAGAATTAGAAATAAGGTAAAAACAGTGACAAATTAATACTTTTTTGGGCTTAACATGTAAAATAACACATAAATAATTACTTTGCATCATTTCATCCACAAGTTTTACTTTTATTGTTGAAAAAAGTTGAAAAAACATGCATTTCCACTCAAAAATGGCTCGACCACCTGCTACTTATGACGTCATATCTCATAGTAACTGACCATCAGTAAACTTGTCTCAAAATGTGCGCGAAGAATAAACGAACAGCTACAGAAAACTTCAAGTGACGATGTTTTATCGTCTAGGAAAAAAGTCAGAAAAACCTTATGGAGGGTGGCAACCGCCCCTCTTCCCTTCCCCCTTGTACGTCCGAGGGTTAAGACTCAAGATCCTGAAAATCATATCCTGTTCGGCAGTACATACCCGTTTTAGCCAAATAATGGAGTGCCCTTACTGGAACCCCTAAAACCGTACTCTCAGTCGATCTCCCACTTTGAATCTGCACTAACCTGTGATGGACACGAGACCTGATATGATTCCAGTGACGAAGCATGGTATGTCCAATTTGTTTTTGTAGACAACGTAACTACAGAGTAGGAAAAAAAACGGATTGGCCTTTCATTAACCATGCAGGTAAACAGGCGAGTATCTTAAATCAAAAAAAGGACTGCACTAAATAAATAAAAAGAAAAACAATACTTTGGAAACGTAAACTCTCCAACAATTAATCATTAATTGTTTTTAATGGGACCAAGAGCCATAATGTGAGACATTCGCCTTTTTTCCGAGAAATTTACAGTGAAAGATTATATTTCTAATACTAAACTAGAAAAAGGCGATCATTATTACATCCAAACACGGTAAAACGATCTTTTTTTCCATTACAAATTTATTCTAAGAAAACTTTACAAAAAAATGTCCCGAAAAGCGCATCCTATTTTTTGTAATTTCAGTTATTATATATGCCCATCCTGGGCATCCTATAATACTCCTCAAATCGAATTAATTCAATATAGCCGCCGTATCGGTAAAAAGGTCAATACATACAGTTAGATGGTAAGCCGTGTGACTGAACTGACTTAACAACAGGGATGATTCCAATCGCAAGCAAGGTCACTATTACCCCAGTGTCGAGTGAACCAAAACATTGTTTTATAAGTTTCTCAAATCTAAATGAGCTGTTTTTTTATATCTGACAGAATAATTTTGATTTGGTGACCTTTTATGAGGCTTTTATTCACGACAACAGTTAACGCAGGTATCAAGGTTTAGACCCGAGAGGGACAGGGAGGGGTGATACGGGCTTAGGTACGTGTGACAAGCATAAAATATCCCTCCCTGATAGAGAGAACAAAACCGTGTGCAGTGCCAGATCCAGACCTTGAGATAAGAGGTGGCGGTCATCCAGACCCTTAGATAAGGGGAAGACTGGTCTCCCCAATTTTTTTTTTCGGCCCTTCGGCCCTCAGTTTGGTTTAAAAATAACGGGGGGGGGGGGGGGGTCCCCCAGGCCCCTTTTCTGGACCCCCCCCCGCTGGTTTGGCTTCCACTAAAAATTCCCAAGCGGGATATATGGTTTTTTTCCCGGAAGGGTATTTTTTTTCGTAACCTTGAGCGGATGGAAAAAAAAACAAAAAACCGGGGGACGTGGCGGAAGCAAGCCCTTTGAGTGGGGGGGGGGGGTCTTCCGCCCCGTTGGATAGGGGGAGGTGTGGTTGCCCCTTTTTTTTTTTTCGGCCCTCGGGCCCTTGGTTTGTTTTAAAAGAAAGGGGGGGGGGGGGGCGGTCCACCAGGCCCCTTTCCTGGATCCGCCACTGCTGTGTTAGCTATCACTAAAAATCTCCAAGCGTGTAATTAGCGTTCTATCCTGGACAGGTATATTCTATCGTAAGCTTGAGCAGATGGAAGATAACAGCTCATATACCTGTACACTGTCCCCACAATTCCACCTCCAACAGCTCCGTTTATCGTCACAACCGCCGACCTAGTGGAAACAATTTTTGGCTTGAATTAAATGGGCGGTCATGATTGTCATTTAGTTCCCTTCCCATTCAGTACTTACTCATCACTAAAACACGATCACCATCAGAGAAAAGGCGTTAAGAAAGTAACTGGGGTGGTATTATTTTGAATCAGATCACTGAATTAATGACAATGACGAACAACGAACAAATCAACAAACTATGTTACATACAGGGGTATTTCACCTGATCTGGCGAAGACATTTAGTATAGAAAAAATTCCAAGATTTAGAGCAAAATTTGAGACAAAAAATAAATTTTTCGTACGAATTGCTGGACTTTTATCAAAGACGTGAAGTGTTACGCAACCTTGACACTTCACATCGCTGATGAAGTTCCAGCGATTTGGAATTTTAAAAAAAAAAACAAATCTCGCCCCCAGGACTTCTCTGTTGTCATGGCCATAGCTTGTATAAGTATTTACCAAATCGCTGAATAGCAATTTTCGCGCGTTTTGATAGGTTCGCGTAACTCGGAATATCCTTGGCGCAAAGAACGCGTGTCTCCCTGTCGTGCGCCCGTTATTTCTTGCGGCCACTACTTGCAAGCGCCTGCTACGCAGGTTATGTAGAGAATTAATCTCATGCTGAATTTGCAGCAAAATCATAAAATTCTCTTGACAAAATCCCCGAAATAATTGTAAATTGTAAACAAAGTTCCTACTAAGTGACGTTTTTAGTTTACAAAAAGTATATCCAACTGATTTGGTAAATACTAAAACAACTATCCCCCTCAGGGTCGGTGAACAGCGGTAGTTATATACTTCGAGGTATATATTACCATATTCACCTCCCCTTCAGGGGATAGTTGTATATTATTGATGTAATTTGACTAGATATCACCAAACGTCTTCAAAATTTTGTCAACGCTAGCTAGTAATGAAGAATTAGCCAATGACAAGAGTCAATCAGAAAAGGATAAATATTTGGAATAAATAATAATGCTCATTTTCTGCAGGCCACCTTGCTGCCACTAATGGACAGAACGAAGAACAGAATTATAACTTTAATATAATATAAGTTAAGTGACTTTATTATAGCCGGCCAACCCATGATAGGGGTTTAGAATGGTAAATTTGAGACTTTGAGAAACGCGAGACGCTGCTGGCTTCAAAATTTGAGCCGACCAAGACACAAAATCACCCGAAAAACGAGACTTCGAGACACATCAAAACGTGTTGTTGGATATGCTCTAATCAGGACATTTCCCGAGCTGAAACAGCCGCTGAATATCTGATCACCTCTTGCCAAAGATGATGACCAGTGAACAGTTTCCCTCAAGATAGCAATTATGCAATCGATAATCATTACGTAAGAGCACTTAGTAAAACCAAAAAAAGACAAAAAAAGGGCGAAATGGAAGTATTTCTTAAAAATTTGCCACAACGCTGGGAATTTGTGTTAATTCTGGCGGTATCTCTTAGGGCTGAGAAAAAGAGAAAGGTGTTTAGATTAGGTACCTTGAGGCTAGCTTCCATCTCATGCCAGTTATCCCCAGTGTACTTCCGCAGTTGAACCCCAACCATCCCCACCACAGCATGAAAGTCCCTAAGAGCACATTTGTCGGTGAAGCCATTTGTTTTGGAGGAACATTCTTGTCGAATCGTCCGCTTCGTGGCTTTAGCATCATCGTCGCAACTAAACCGCTTACCCCGCCAACCAAATGCACAGCACTGCATCCAGCAATGTCCACTGCGCCCATTGTATGGAGAAAACCGTTTTCATCCCAAATCCAATGTGCTGGGAAGCTGTATGTCAGAGTGTTCAGGAATGAGTACAAGATGTAGGCTTTGAGTTTGATTCTCTCCGCCATTGCACCGGAAACAATGGTGGTCGCTGTAGTGGCGAATGAAAGCTGAAAAAAATACTTGGAATATATCTGACCCATGCTGCTTCCCTCTGCGTCTGTCAAGAAATAACCCAGTCCACAAAAAGGATTGCCATTCTGTATGATCCCGAAACTGAACGCATACCCGAACAACCAGTACGAAAATCCACCAAAGACGATGTCAACAGCGTTCTTTACCATAATGTTTGCTTCATTTTTCAAGGAAACAAACCCGGATTCTAAAAGACCGAATCCTGACTGCATTGTAAAAATGGTAAATGCACTTGTCAAGATCCAGGTTGCATCGTCATGGTCATGGAGTTCTGTGTCGCCGTTACTATTTCCCTGCTGGGTGGTTTCATTCATTTTTCCTCACTCCCCGAAAAGTTTGCTCCTCCTTCCAACTTTTTAACGATTCTTTAAAAATATAGTTTTCCTGTTTACTTTTGATACATACATGCATGTGTTTTTATGGAAGGCTATTTAATTGAAAGTAAGATCTAGATCCCAATTAAAGGAGCCACGTCTCGTTATCCCCTTAGGTAGTAATAGGTTTACGTCAACGCATTTCCCTGAATTGGTTTTATTATGTTTCTCTTCGGTTGCTTAATGAAGCCTAATAATTCTTAGCCACGTTCAGTTACCATGGCAACCTGTATCGCACATGCTAGTTATAAAATTATAAAACACTACTCAAGACTCATTAACAAATAAAATTGAGGAAGTTAGTATTTGCAGCTTGCGCAAATGTCTTATTAACTGAAATTAACTTTAAGTATTGTGTAACTTCTGTCATCGCTTGATTAAAAATACTAGAATTTTCTACAGCATTCTAAGTGTTCGCGGAGCACCAAAGTGGACAAACGTGACGCGTGAAAGTTTCCAGAAGTCCCGAGCAACGCAGACGAAAAGCAGGATTCACCTTCACCTCTTTACTAAGAATTTACCCAGGAACCAAATAATCGGCTCCTGTTTAATTTAACCACGATCTTGGATAGGAGCGGTACTTTTTAGTCATAATTCGCACCTTGATACTCAACTTTGACAACAAATATTAAAACTGGTTAAACGACTTGCACTGGGTTTTTAAAGGCTAAAACTTTTTTTCGCACCAATTGAATTCCAAAAATGATGGTCCAGTTTGTTATGTAAGGCTATATTGAAGCACTCAAACGGTTTCCTGTTATCTGTTGTTACAGATGCTAAGAACGGTGGATTAAAACTTTAAAAAGGTTGGGCCAACCTTTTCAAGTTTTCCGGCTATGGCTCTGTAAAAATCACCCCAAAAATATTATGATTAGAGCTCCCTGATCAAATTTGTTTGATATCCTCTGAAAATTTAACCCTAAAATTAAAAGAAATAATTAGGGCATCAAAGGGATTTGAAGCCGTCTGTGGCCTCTGCTTTAGCGCTGCCTTCTCTACCAGACGAGTTATGAAGACCCGCACTTTGGGAGCAACCAATTTTTTTTTTAGTTTTCCTTAATCCATGAAAGGAATGAAACACAGAATCAGCAGTTCACATCATCTTCATTCTATGAAGATTCATTTCTTAGCCAGCGCTTTTCTCACTGTAAGGTAAGGTAAGGTAACGCATTTATTTAAAGAGGGTAAACATGTGACAGTTATGAAAAAAACTGATAAACTTGTGGCCCTCTTGGTTTATCCTTCCGCTTCTGCCTCTGGCTCCGACAATCTGGTTTTCACTAGATCATAAGCCGAACGTAAGCGACGGAGTCTTAAGCGGAAGAAATGGAAACGTTCTGATTCTTCTGACTCCGACTCCATCGCGCTTATGACTCCGCTTACGACTCCGATTTTTGATTTTCACCAGGTCATAAGCGCTATACTTCACTACTTAACTTACGACTCCGACTCCATCGCTAGTGAAAACCAGCCTTGAGAAAGTGGTAGTTGGCTTATGCCAAGCTGTATATCTTTATTAGCGATGTTAATTGTCATCTGTAGTAAAAGTAGTTGTAGAAGTAATAGGCCATTTACAGTTGTGGGCTTAGAGTCGTAACTTTCGAGAGAACATGAGGCTGAGGTTGACCTTAACTTGTTTTGATAAAAACTACTTCCTTTTTTAATGGAAATTATGCATAAGAAATACTGAACCTATTTCAGAAAATGTCATTTTTCACACCCGTTTTCAGACCTACATGGCCTCTAAAATCCATACCCGTTTTCAGACCTGGCCTCTAGGAAATTGTCAACATTACTCAGATAAGAACGACCCCCCCCCCCAAAAAAAAAAAAAATTCTGAAAATCTGTTTCGAATTCGCGCGTTTCTCTTTCTTTCTTATTCATTTGGAATTGAAACGATAAATACGTTCATACACTCCCGTAGTTCCCTCGATAACCACACCCGTTTTCAGGACAAAACGAGGCAAAAATCATACCCTTTGGGGGGGGCACATACCTATAGCTATGTGGCTTACGCAAGGGAGTACCCCTGGGGGTTTTCACTAGCCTGAGAAAACAACAAGGACAAGTGGCCAAAAGATGCTAAAATGCAAATGGCTCTCTGTTGTGTTGCTTCAGAAACGATAGACTCTGAATCCAAAGAGCTCCCTATGTTACTCTTAGGGTATGCCAGGCATCAAAGCAGGGGCTTACTACCCTGATAAAAACGTATATAAGATTAAGACTAATATTACATGACCGATGAACAGGCCATTATTTTATAGTTGCACTATAGAAACGAGGCTCGAGTTGACCTTGTTTTGATACAACCCTTCGTGCTTTATTATGTAAATCATGTTATTCTGATGCTAACTAGGATTTGGAGAACCGGGCGGCACACCCCTACCAAAAATTCCCAGGAGTACCCCCCGAGTGAAAACCGCCAGCTACCCAAGCTACGGATGATTAAAGCGAACTTTTTCTCGTGAATATTTTCATCCTAAGATGTTAAAAAATAAAGCCAATTTTTTTTCCTTTTGATGAAGGGCAAAAGGGTGAAAATGTAGGGGAAATACTTTACAATAGCAGCATTTCAGCAAATGTCCTGTAGCGCACTGTGGACACATTCAAAAACGGCGTTTTTAGTTTATGTTTGCCCAACCTGGAGCAAAAAATTACATAGCTGTCTCAGTATAAGGCCGAATGCCATATCGCAGCTTTGGACCACTTTCTTGTATCCGGTTAACTCGAGCGAGTTAAGAGCCGGCGCGGCGCAGTGGTGGTGGTGGGGAGAGGGGGGAGTTGAGGGGGCATAGTTATGAATTCTCTCTTGTTATGGACTATGCACCCGGTTAGTAGCCTCCCCGCAGACGTCCTTTGGGATTCGTTTGTCACGCATTCATTTCTTTCAAATGAATGCGTGACAAAGGAGCCCCAAAGGACGTCTGCGGGGAGGCTACCCGGTTAGTGGAGCCGCTGGGAATTGATCTAAAGCCCCGTGCAAACGGACGCAACATTGTTGGCCAACAACTTCCAACATTGATGGGAGTCGTTGCGTCCGTTTGCACTAGCTAAAAGTCTGACCAGTTTAAACTTTGCACAACAAATCCCAACAACACGCGGAAAAAATGCAACAGGGTGTGCGTTGCGTCCGTTTGCACGGAGCTTGAATCTACATATTAAAGCTTTTCTTTGTCCTGGACTATAAAAATAAAAGTGTATGGAACTGATGGCGACTCTAGGATAGGCAGGGATTTGGGGACTTTAGTTTCAGTATAGGGTAGCAAAAAATAGCTGAACTACAATCTTGGACTAAATCAGGATGGAAAATTTATACCCGTCCCCCCCCCC